CGTCGGGGCCGCGCAGGTAGGTGGGGGCCGCGCAGCCCAGCGCCTCGGCTGGGAAATGCCGGGATCCTGGGGAGCTGCGCGGCGGGAAGGGACGGCGTCCGGGTCGGGACGGGAAATCTTGATCCCGTTTGCTAGGCCTCGAGGAGAATTGCTTGCCCAGTGTGCTTCTGGTGAATGTGGCTTCTGAGTCTGCGTTTAGCATAACTCTTCTCTTACATTCAGCTGTGAGAGGGAAAGGCAACGATCTTAAACTCCCCGCAGCTTTTCTGTCAGCCTTTTACTTTCTTTAAAAATCCCCTGGGCTTCCCCCTCCCCACTTTATGCAGACCTACTGAATACTTATCCTGCTTACCTTGTTTTTTCGTTATTGAAAAATGAAGAGAATTTTTTTCTTAGAAGTTCTAAGACCCGAATGATTAGTTACTCAGCTAATAAATTGTTGGTAAATGGGCTTTTTACTTGTCTTTGTATAAGCCTATTCCTATAATGTACAAAAAGATAGCATTATCTGGATGTGTATTTTAGCTGTTCTTGCTCTTGCCTTAAATATTTTAATATTGCTGTTTCATTTGGCTGTCTGGATTCATCTGGAAGTCTCATATGAAAGCAAGAAGACATAAAACTTTAATTTGAAAGTATTAAAGTAAAACGCATAGCATGATTTGTGTAGTACTACCCAAGTTACTGTAGGTGTATTTCTGACAATGAGAGCAAAGTATAGGCCTAGTCTGAGGGGGGAAAAATTCTGAATGTCTTCCTATGTAGCTCTTGATAAGACACCTTTCTTCTAATCTGCAGAAGTCCTCTTATCACAGTTTCTCTAGCTTCCTTGACCTGGAAAGGTAAATGGAACACAAACTATTTCACTACTACTGTAATGTGAACTAGTGTCTGTGTAGATCTAAGGAGAAGTGTCAGGCTTCTTATACTAAACAGTGATATCATTTTAAATTCTAGCTGAGAAGATCACCAGGGGAAGTATGTTTTCCAGGAGGTAAAAGTGAAGCAGCAGATAAAGATGAAATTGATACTGCTCTCAGAGAAGCCAAAGAAGAAGTGGGACTCCAGCCAGAGGAGGTGGAAGTCGTCTGTAGGCTTGTGCCTGGGCTTGATAAAGTAAGCAATAAACTGAGTAAGTCAGCGTATGATTAGAAAGCAAGCTTAAAATCGTATCATTGTCACTTATATTTTCCTTTATAAGGTCAATAATGATCTCTTCAAACCTATTACTGTGAATAACCACTGCTTCTTAAAGTACACAGCCTTTCTTTCCCACAGAGTGAAAGAAGACATTCTCTCTATTTGGTATTTGTGAGGTGACATCTGACTACTGTGACCAGTTATGGGCTCCCCAGAGCCAGTATTGGAGTACTAGAAGGGCATTGGCAAATTGGAGAGAGTCCACTTGAAACCCACCAGGATAGTGGGAGGGGCCCATGGAGTGTGAGGAGAGGCTGAGAGAACTTGGTTTCTTCAGTCTGAAGAAGAAAAAGCTAACAGGAGATCTAATTGCTGTGTTTAGTTACCCCCTGCGTGGTTATAGAGAAGATGAAACTAGGCTCTTCTTGAAGGCGCACAGCGAAAGGACAAGAAACAGTGCCCACAAGCAGCAGCAAGGGAGGTTCTGATTAGATGCAGGGAAATATTCTTCACCATGAGGTTAGCTGAACACTGAAACAGGTTGTCCTGAGACACTGTATAATCTGTCTTTAAAAATGCACACAACTCATCTGGACAAGGTCCTGAGCAGCTTGATGTAACCTCAAAGTTAACTCTGCTTTGAGCGGGGGTTGGAACTAGGTAACCTCCAGAGGTCTGTTGCAGCCTGAATTATGTGGACTATGATTCGGGCATTCTGTATGTAACTCTGGGAAAGCGACTTCTTCCATTCTGCAGACATCTTTGGAATGTAGGTCACTATTTGTAAATTCAGACTATTAATTTCTAACAATATTTTACGTGGGATCAGTTTTCCCGTAGTACAGAGGAGATATTAAGTCGTAAAAGACTTCATTTTTGATGTTAAGTGTTTTTTTGATGTAGGTTTCTCTTTATTAATACTCCTACTGTTTGCTTTTGTATTTGTTAGCTCCTTACTGTTAGCAATATGCTCGCCTCATTAAAAAGACAAAGAATTAGTCTTAAAATTGCATTGTAAACATGCTTTATTTCAATTATTATGTTGTATAGGTAACATCAGACCCACACGGTTCAGAGGCTATAGGTGAGAAGGATGCATTCAGTTTTCATTACTATTTTCAGTGTTTTCCAGTGAATTGCCTCAGTCAATAGGAAACAACATGTTTTGATCATATTTTTCAGGCACCTTTTGAATATACAGGAAACACTGAACTCTTAACACCCTGGTGAAGTACTGTCTACTTCTAAATTTATTTTAACTTTGTTGAGGAAATAAGTACAGAACTCAAAGTTACTTAGAACAGTACAAATTGTTGAATATGATACAGTTTTGGGTTTGAACCATAAATCTTACCTGTCAGATTCTACTTTTGTCTCCCCTGTATGTACATTCAAAGTGATTTTTTGACTTAGATTCAGACTTGCATCAAACTAACAGTACAAATGTTGAGCTTTGGCATTAATGCTTATCGTTACTAAAAAATTGAATTAGTTAGATAAGCAAAACACTATTAGTGCCCACTTTATGCAAGGGACTATTTCAATGGATTTTTGCCTCCTTATGGAAGAAGGGATCATCTTTAAAATAAAAATGTGCATAAACCAGCAGTTTCAAAAAAGTGTATATATACACACTGTACATCTATGATAACATATCTGTGTATGTGTATATATATGTGCATATATAACATATACACAAAAAGTATAAGTGATTTGAAAAATTTGAATCAAAATCAGAACTCCCCAAAATAAGTCAAGGAGACCTGTAAGATAACATGCTTTTGTTTTTTTTTCTCTAGCAGATTGACAAACTTTAGGAGCTATGTGCTCATTAGGCATGAGCAGAATATTAGCAAAAGCAATGCTTAATTAACATAAAAGGAGAATTTTAAAAAGTTTGGAAGTATATTTAAAAGTAAATATAAATATCTTGCCATTTGAGGGACTAAAATTGCATTACAAGTATGACTATTTCATAGGTTTCTCATACTCATCTGAAATGCTTTTAAAATAAAGAACTCTCCTTTACTTGGTACAAAGTTAGTGTTCGTGTTGTGTTTTGTTTGTTTTCTTTTAGATGAATCATTTGGTAACACCAGTTGTAGGATTTATAGAGGATACATTCCAGGCCACTCCTAATCCAGATGAAGTGAGTGATGTTTTTGTGGTGCCATTGGAATACTTCATCAAGCCCTTAAAATACAGGACCTTGCCTTACAAAACTTCATCTGGTCACTTAAGTCGGATGCATTGCTTTACATATGATGACCATGAGCGTAACATGTCATTCAAGATATGGGGACTTACTGCACATTTTGCTGTATTTCTTGCTCTTGTAATTTTTGGAAGGAGACCTACCTTTGAAGTTGATTATGATCTTGACAACTTAATTCCATCTTCTGTGCAAAACTTCATGAATTTATATGCATCAGTATATGAAAGGAAGAAAAGTAATCTATGATATACTGGATTGCCAATTAATGAAATTTAATGAAATTGATGAAAAAGATTTTGGTTTATTGTCTTTATTTGATTTAATTTCACATTTGCATTTTTCTGAATTGGGAACTTTAATTGGATTTTTAAAAGTTCTAATAAGTCAACAAGCCCTAATTAAATTCATGTAATTGCTTCTGACAAATCTAATGTAAATATAGAACACAGTATTTTTGATGGACTTGGAGTTAATACACTGACATGGAAGATCTAGGTTCAACTTCTGCCTTTGTCTTGTGTGATCTAAGATCGTCTTTCTCTGATCTGCCTTTCTTTTGCGTAGTGAGATATTACTGATCTTGTCTACCTTTTGTCTGTTTGAATTAGAATACAAAAATTGTGGAGGATCTGTCTGTCTCTTACTCTGACTTACCACATATGGCATAATACATATAATCATCTCCAGTATTTTTAAGCACTGTTATGAAACGCACAATAAAAATATAGAAAGTGACAGGTGCTTTCACAAGCTTGTTTTTTTTGTGGGGTTTTTGAGGGAGGATGGAGGTTTAATGAGTTTTATTCCTTTTGCTCAATTTAACACTTCTGAGAAAATTTTGTAGTCTTCGGAAAGCTTGGTGTAGAGGCAATGACACTAAACTTTCTTCCTCAGCATTCTTGTTAATATCACTCATTCAGCTCCTAGGAGGAGTCTTTTTAAAAAGAGAAAAGCGGAGTTCAGTATTCATAAATACTAAAGTGCCTATCTGTAGTTGAATCTTTGCCAGGGTGACTGGTAATGTCAGATACATGGCGTTCTTTGCGCTGTGAAACCTGGTTTACTAGTTGCTGGTGGACTAGCAGCTTATTCATGGTGGTGGTCGTATTGTGGCCAAATGCTTACATCTTATAAAGCACAACTGAGTTTGTCTGGATTTGAGATGTAGTTTAGAAGTGAACAGTTTACCAGTCCTTAAATAGCTGATCCTCTCTGAGTAACAAGAGTGAGTTAAAAGCATTCGGGGTCTCTCAGTTGTCATGTTTGATCATGTTTGATAACGCTGAAAGCTGTTTTTCCAGAGTGAAAGTTGCCTTTGTTCTAACTCAATAGCTGTATTTTATTCTCTGGTGATAAAATGAGTTGCAGGCACTTTTTATGAATTGCTTTGTAGTTGAGCAGAATTAGATATTTTTATATTAAGCAGTTTTCATAGTATATTTGAAGTTGTTTGCCATTTAAGCAAAATGTTTTTTTGAAAAATTTTTCCTAAGTATGTGGGTGTGTGGTTTTTTTTTTTTTTTTAAGCTAATTGTTTTCTAGAAAGCCTAGTTCTAAATGTGGGGATGGTTGCGTTTTTTTTTTTTCTTTTTATGGCTTCTGATACTGCATCTGTAGCATGCTTTGGTTACTGTGATAGGACAGTAGCCTTCAGGCACTGAAACATCAGCTTGTGTTTTGCTGATATCTGCAAGATGACCTTTTATGGAAGAAGAAAAAGATTTTTGGAGCTATGCTCAGCTGAGGGGAATGTGTCAAAAGAGTTCAAGGCTAAAATTAATGCAAATCTTCTTGTAAGGCTGCATTTTCCTTTTGCCTCTTTCCAAGTCGCAGATCTGTGATATTTACTATTTGCCTCTTCCCAGAGGTAATTAAGTGGTAAGTATCCTACCACAGTATTCTACCTGAAATTTTCTTTATGTTGTGGCATTAAAGTTGTAATATCAGTAATCCCAAAACTGAGTTGGAAGAGGCCTCAAGAAATAGCCTTTTGACACCTAAAGATGGGATCACTATATGATATTCTGATAAATACTTAACTTCTTAAGTTTCCCTGGACAGCATGTTCTAGTCCTTTAACCATTTTTAACTTTATAAAGTTTGTCTAACTTAACAGATACTATTTTAGCAAAGAAGACTTATTTAGCAGAATGGGGAGTACTTCATTTCCTTAGTTACTTTCTACATATCTGAAGACCACACTACTGTCTTCCTGAGCCTTCTTCAGACTTAATGATCAGATTTCTCCAATCTTTCTTGTCAGTCATATTTTCTAGATCTCTTGTCATTCTTGTTGCTTTCCAGACTCTTTAGTGAACACTCTTCCTTCCCCTTTTTTCTTCAAATGTAGTAATCAAACTTGGACATGGTACTCCAGCTAACCACTTATCTGGGTTGGGTAGGACAGGATGACTGCATAGCTCCTTTTCATATATGCCACTGTGATTGCCCTTTGCAGCAGCATGGTAATATTGACTCATATTGCATTTTTTTCTGCTAAAGCTTTCTAATCCTTCTGTGAAAAAATCTGCTGATTGTTCCTATATTTATTGTATTCTGTATTTGAACAGTTGACTATACCTACCTATGTTTAGCACTTTGCGTTTGTCCTTATTGAATTACTTCCTGATTTAAAAAAAAAAAAAAAAAAACATGGTGATTATCTACTAGTATGTTTTCAGAGGTTTTCACTTCGTTGTTATCCTCCAATTTATTGAGTATCTTCTGTTTCATTTACAACTTAGAGTAAGCAATACTCAGAACAGGCCTCCACAGAATCCTGATCTTGATAAGTAGTTGCACTTTGACAATGAGCTGTTACTACTAGGTGTAGTTTTCTAACCAGCTATGGGGGAAATACTGCTAGTGTCATATAGACCAACTCTCCTTACCTTGCAAATGGAAACATATGGCAAGACTTTATCCAAAACTTGAAGATCTACAGTTCTCCATATACACCAAGCGTGTTACCTGCCACATAAAGGAGGGAGACACATTTGTCAAAAATAGTTCATATGAAAAAGATATCAGTTGCTACATATGTCTTTGCTAATCAAAGTAGCTTTATAAGAGTTACTTACTCTGATGTTTCTCCCAGGAATCGGAACAATTAGTCCGAGTTCTCCAGTTCTTTCATAGGGCCCTCTGCCTTTTCCCGGCCTCTATTATGGGAAAAGATAAAGTTCCCTAAGTTTGAAAGATAAGTGCTAGTAACTTTGAAATGGATTCTTCAACAATGGCTATAGCGTTGGAAAGCCTCAAAAGATTCAACCAGCTCAAACATTTTAGCATATCTAAACCTGTCGTGCTCTTATATTAATTCTTTTGGCATCTATGTTAATTATGCTTGATATCAGTTGACTTAACTTAAAAAGAAAAAAGGTACTTGTATTTTTAGCTGGGTTGAAATTCTTGAAGAAGCAATACCCACACTTACAAAGAACAGTTTTATTTTCATTATTAAACACTTATGAAATTCTTTAAACATCTAAAGATAAACCTAACTTTAAACCCTTCATCATATTATTCATAGCATCAGGCTAAGCTACTAAGGATAATGTAGATGGGGAAAATAACTAATTAAAATAAGAACATAGTTAATTAAAATAGAGCAAACCAATTAGACCTTCAATTAGTAAACAAAACAGGTACCAAGCAACATAATTACTAACTTAGCATCCTCTTTTGGTCCTAGCAGCCTTTTTTTAGTTCCTTTCCGGTCTACCAAATCCAGCACGGAAATCGTACAAGTTGAAACATCACTTTTATTTCTCTTTTTCTCAAATGTTGTTCTTGTCCTTACAGGTCCATAGAACAAGTTACATTTGATGCTCCTTTTAGCAACAATCACGTTTTTTTAAATCAAATTAACCATTTGAGCTGGCTGGAAAATGGACTTCTCAGAGCTCCAGCCAAAAACCCTTCAGTGACTTGCAGTAAAACCACTGGGGTTTTACCCATGCTGATGGGAATGCATAGTGTGTAGGTCCTGATGTGCATACTTACATGATTTTACTGATAGTAGTTTTGAAATTTGGGAACTGCTTTCTTAATGTAAAAAAAAAAAAAAAAAAAAAAAAAATCCATTCTTTATTTAGATAGCCATTTGCCATTTGAGTGCCCAGACAACTTATTTGAGCACAAAAAGAATAGAAGGAATTTTAAGTGCCTGTTACTAAAACTGCCATTCTGCAAATCCCATACTTGCTAGTGGGAGTTTGTTTCTTTAAGCAATCTTTGGGTGAAAATTTCCACAATGTTTGAAGCAGAAACTGGTGCACAGCTCCCCTCACCCCAGTTAGGCAGTTGACTAATCAATCAGTGTCATATTCATGCTCCCTTCCTTCCTTTTGAGATGTAAGGAGTGGAGAGTGCCCCAGGTGGAATATCATGAGATCTGGTAATTCATGCATTTGTCAGGATACTACCTCTGAAGTGTTAAGAGAACTGAAACTGGGTCCTTCTGTTCCTGGGTAAGCACCCTGTATACTTGAATACTGTGTTAAAGGGAAGTTGCAGTTGTTATGTACCTCATAGTTTTAAAGGAAAGTGTGACTGTGGCTCATTTTTTGTGTAAGATCACACCTGTGAAAAGGTACATCCTCTGCAGAGATGAATCTTTCCCTGGACCTTGGGCTGCAGAGATATGTAGACTTAGCAAGAGATTTGCAAAAGATTTAGCAAATCTGTTGTTCTGAGAATTTCCTATTGGGGAATGCTGTACTCTGCCCTTCGAACTGGTTAACAGCCTGAGGCAATTAGCTCTCCCCTGCGTTGTGTAGAACGTTTTAAGCATCTAACAAAGGCCCTGGTTCTCTGTCATTCCGTGGGCCTGATGCCTTGCAGTTAGGCACTGCAATGTTAAATGTTATCATGCCTAAGGGAATGTTACCATATCCTTTCAGATCTGTCCTTAAAGTCCTGCAACAAAGTGCTTATCAAGACCTGGCTGTCCCAGGGGTCTCTCTTACTAGTCTTCCATTATTCCTGAATATTATAGAAATAGATTTGGATTTTGAATTTGGATTTTGATTGTGGTGATTTAAAGGATTCATTTACTTTGAATTATTGACTGCAAATGCATTTGTTTCTTGCAAATGCATGTAAGTATGTTGTGTTAATATGGCTACCAATCTGTAGAGGTGTTTTATAAAAGTGTGTATGTATATATATATAGTTTCTGAACTTCTCACAAATCCATCATAAAGGCTATTGGTCAGTTGAAAAGTGCTATTAAATAAATGCTGTTAAATATTAAAAATAGATTCCTGAATCCTTTCCCAAGCAATGGGATAAGTAATGCAACATATCAGTGAAATGAGTGCAAAGACTTGTATCAGAGCAAGAAAATTACTGATATGATGTGGAATTAACTAAAAATAAATAGTATGAAGTTTAATGCAAGTTGTTAGTCATTCTTTTAGTTAACGTGCAGTGATTCAGCATTTAACATTTCTACATTTTTGAGTGCTCAAATAATTAGGTGTTTGGTATTTAACATTTATGTGAACATTTAACACACAGATTTGATAGGTAAATTGGTATTTTAACAATTATAACTATTAAAGAAAATCTAATGAAAACGATTCAAAAAGGGATATAAGGTATACACACCAGTTTACAGCACTTCTGTATTGGGAAAAACATACAGTGTTCGTTGCATTTCAAGAAGCTTAATGGACTCAGTTTAATTAAAATCCCATTTACTTTTGCATAGTTAGAGTTCATGCAGGGTTAAGAGAGTCATGGTTAGATAAGAATGTAAATATTCAAAAAAGCACACCGTTCACATTCAGCTTATGCCTACATCATAGAGATAAACAATACGAAATCTGGAGAAGTTTTTGGCCTTCAAGCTCATTTAAATGCTTACAAGTCAATATAATGTACCTACGAGGGTTTGTTTTTTAATAGGTTGCCATAGCAATGCAATTTTCAAAGCAGTACATGTTAAACCATCTCCAGTTAAAAATTTTTTTAGTTATAATGGAATGGGCCATTAGATAATCCTTCTTCCCTCTAAGCTTATCCTCTCCCACAATATAATCTAAGAAATTAGGTGGTTAGAAAAAGGAATCACACGGATTTCTGATTTCTTGCAGAAGCTACAGTTCTGTAGCCAGAACATTCATTTAGGGATGAGAGAAATGCAATATAAATTTATGTTGCTAAAATTAACATCCAAAGAGTAAAATGAGTGTTTTATGATGTTAATTAAATTTATAATGCTGTATAGTTGCCTGCTGTTTAGTGCTTTAGATTTGGGGTAGGTTTTTTGTCTTTTGAAACAAAAAATAACTGCACTAGGAAGGAAAACATCCAAGCAGTAATGAAACATTAGTGAAGAATAATCATCGTGTTTGTCAGAATGTGCTGCAGGGGAATAGTTGTTCACTGGCTAGCAACAGACTCATTTTGGACATGCTTACTTCTTATCCTGAATTCTGTAATCCTATAAACTGTCCAGTATTGACCATTTATTGACCTATGTCTGTCTTGACCTCCACTCTGTTATAAGCTATCTTTGGATTCATCTTGTATTTAAAGATATGTTCCTACTACTCATCCTACAGCTGATGCAGTGTTTGTCTGTTAGCACAGCTGCTTAAAAATATTTGCATATATGTTCCTAATTAAGTGTTGCCTGTAGTAAAATCCAGCGCTACTGGCAACAAACATAGGAGCTGGGCTTCTGAAGAAAGCTAAATTTGCCTTTGAACCCTATGATAGATCATAATGCTACACTGTAGCCCCCGTAAAAGTCAGATACCCAAATTGTTGACATGAACAAGAATAATATCAGGTTTAGAATTCTATATGTGTTTGAAGGATTAAGGATGTAGTGCTAAAAATCTGTAGTCAGATAGATCTGTATACAGAAACAAACAACTGTAGAAAAGGGGTTGACGAGTAAGACATTTAAATAGTGTATATTTTATTCTGTTTTTAGATAAAGCAAATGAAACAATCTTATTCTAGGTTAGTTGCTGCACATCTGTAGCTGACAAATCATGATAATTTCATTAACTTCAATGTGGTTGTGCCTAATTACATGCTGTGAGGTTTTGGCTGATACTGCATACCTACTTTAACCGGTAATGCATGTTATCTCAATTATATTGCGTCTTCTGTCTTTTCATTTGTTATTTTTGTTTTTAAAATTTGTATAACAGGTGCTATCAACAGCTTATTCAGAATATAGTAAACTAGTTGTTTTTAAAATATTAAGGTTTAATTCTTAATCTAAGAGCAGCATTCTTTAGATCTTCTACAGTACCAGTTAGCAGATATTCGTGGGGAAACAAACAGAATAAAATGGGAGTGCTACAGTTCTGTCATTGGCAGGTTTCATTGCTAAAAATGGAAGTCACACAGAATTCATTACTTGAGGCTTTCAGCTGTTAACAGTCAAATCAGAAATGCAGGAACTGATGAATTAGTAACAGATGTAAACAAAGGTTTGCAATGCTTGGGAAGCTGGGAATACCACTAAGAAAAAGGAAGTCGATGATATATGCCTGCCATCAAATTGTCCCCTACCTGAGGCCAAAGAAAAAAAAAGGTGCCATGTATGCTCTGTGATCATCAGTCAGAAAAGGGCTGGAAGACAGCCGCAAATTGGATTGAAAGCTTTATATCTGTGAGAATCTGTTAACCTGAGCAGAACTCTAAGAAAAGACTGAGAAAAAGAGAAATCATGGAGAGGTGAGGGCACAGGAGTCTGTGTATCTATATTCCCCATTTATCTGGGGAGAGGAAAGAGGAAGTGGCTGCTCCAGTAGGGGCTATGATTAGATCTCCCCTCTGATAATGGGAAAAGGCAAAGAATTTGAAAGACTGTAGGAAAGCAACGTGCGGTTGGAGAGGGGAACCGGGTGCCTTGGAAGGGCCGGGCAGCCGGCCTGGCTGCAGACCCCACAAGACGGTCCCCCGGCACAGCTCCCTCACGCCAGCCTGGCTCAGCCTCTAGGCCAGCGCAGCACAGGTTTCCTCAGGTCAGGAACCGCTGTCGAAGCTACCTTACACTTGCTTCTTAGTTCTGTGGGGCAGATAGATGCAGGGTTATCCAAATAGCATTTGAAATATGATTATATTAATATAAATACTCAGCATCAAGTAATTGCCCACACCTAACTTCCTTTCTGGATTGCTCATGTTATGACATCTGGAATGCTGTTTACGCTGTGTTTATTAAATAAGTCTCCTTGAATTTTTTTTCAACTTCTGCTGAAAT